CCCATTCTCGTTACACCAAATGCACTCAAATTCCTCAGCTCTGAATATATATAAAAATGGATACCCATTCTCGTTACACCAAATACACTCAAATTCCTCAGCTCTGGGGATATATAAAAATGGATACCCATTCTCGTTGCACCAAATGCACTCAAATTCCTCAGCTCTGAGGATACGTAGATATCCATCCTACTGGGTATCCTATCTGGGTATTCATCTCGATACCCAAGTTGTGGATATTATGACATCCCTCAAACTAAACTAATTTCATGTTTTTTTTTCTAGATTATTTTTTGACTATTTATTAGTCGAAAACATGCCGATCTTAATCGTAAATTAAGATTGAACTACCTCGAAATGGCCTGACAAATAAAATAAAATCGAAAATATGTAATTAATTGCGTTGAGAGAAAAAAAATGAAAAAGGTCAAAAATTAGATCCGATCATCAGCATACTGTAGTTTTGGTAACAGGGTACCTAAACGTACTGTGCAATAGTACTCAGTTAAGTACTTGATCAGTACCTTCAAGTACTCATTTACTATATAGTCGCTTTCCAGCAGAGTACCCATTTGAGTACCTAATAGGTACCTAAAAGTACTTTTAAGTACGCCAGCATCATAAAGTTCCTGTGACATACTAGTAGCAGGGTACTTTTTCGGGTACGCTTTGTTCAGTACACGCCTTAGGGATTAGTTTTATATAGTCAGTAAATTTTATTTCTCTAAAAGATACATAAAATATAGCTTAAGCTATGAAACAGTTGTCTTTACATTTAAATTAGCTTAGTTGTTTATGACATTTAAAAAATTGTCTCATCAATATTGCAATAAATTTAAAGGTTGATCGTTTGAAATAATCCTTTGTCATAGTAAAAATAAGCTTCAAAAAATACCAAAAACGATGCATATGTCGAAACAATCATGTTATAATTTGGCTTTTAAGCTAAGTTCAAACGAATAAATAATATATTCTTGTCAGTATGTTACATCGTGAAATTTTCTTACTTACTGTTGATTCTTTCCAGTTTTGAAGACAACACTTTCATAGTTATTAAACAAACGAGTGAGTAGTTACCTTGCAATTTTATGCTGTAAATTTTTATCGTGTTGGAACATAGCACGCCACACAGAGCTGGGCAAGTCACAGATTTTTTAAGTCACAAGTCAAGTCAAGTCTGACTTGACTTGTCAATTTCTGATCTGTTCGATTACTTCATTATTGAAAATGACTTTTTTAATGATATACAAGGCGACAGTTTTGTATTTGCGTGTAACAAATAAAATGATTCACGAATGAATATTCTCATCACACACTACACAGTTCTTCTTTAGATTGACGCAACCTTTATATATCAATAAACAGTATAATGCTCTTCTGTAGTTATACCCAATAAACAATACTTGACTATGAAATAGTTCGAAATGTTGTTCATTTTTATCGTCTTTAGTTGCATCGACTTGTTCCGACTGGTCTTTCCTTGATAGCCAAGTGAAGGCCAAAATTTCTTTTTACCAAGTAGAGCTAAAGAAATTTTTGAACTAAGCCAAGTCCAGTCAAGTCCGACTTGGGTTGCTAGCTCTGACGCCACAATTATTACGTATGATTGTGAATGACATATTTCCTATTTGTAGGGTACAATTAACTAAAACAAATATACATTAATACATTCAATAATAATACGCAAAATTGTTATCAACTGTTAGCCAGGTACTAAGCGCAAATGAGTTTCCAAAAAGTGATAAGTAATTATAAGAGAAAGACGCGCACGTTTAGAAACAGAAACAATGTAGGTAACAATTAAGCAATGCTTGATTGATAAAAACCAGTGTATTTAACCCATTATCCTTTTCTCACCCAATTTATACTACTATGATTATTTTATTATTTTTATTGAGTTTCTTTACTAGTCTTTCATTAAGTCACCAATTAACCGTTCATTGATGCAAGTTCTTTGAATATAATTACAATAAGATTTTCTCATTTGGCATAAATAATCACGATCAAAGTAATTTATATTTTAGACGGAAAAACTAGCTTCAGAATATTCCCCTTTAAACACATTAATAAACGGAGATTTTTTTATTTGGCCATTCTTCGATAAAAATACGTTTCGATTAGACAATTTACGTAATATTTTCGATGAATAATCGCAAATCATATGAACCTGTGCTATATGTGTCGTACAAGATATTATTTTTTATGATCATAACAGCGGATGCAGTAAACAATGGGCTTCAAACTAGAAAAGGCATAATATATGGTCGACGAACAGAACACACAATCGAATATTTAGGGTGAGACTTTTTAAAAGTTTTTGATTCCGAAATCAACGATAGAGAAAATGAGGGTAGCGACTTCGATATTGATAAGTATGTAGGAGACAAAACTCAACAGTAGTTGAGAAGATCAATGCAATTTCCCTAAGGAATTCTATATTAGTTTTAAAATTTGAACAATGCAATATGCTAATAATTAGATGCCAATAAATAATAGTGCATTGTTTTAATGAAATTCCGATTGTAAATGAATCTAAATTCGGTCGAAATCTAGTCTGACATTGAATTTTTCAATAATTCTTAGTCCCATGAGTCTCACATTAAGACGATTTTTATACAAAATTGTTCATTTTACTTCATTTTGCTGCTATACTATTTCTAAATAAACTTCGCCTTAATTCCACTACGTTTTTCTTTTAACATTGGTAGGCTTTCCATTTACGATATGTAAGAATTAAGTTTGAATAATAAATTATCGATATTGTTTTACAAATTCATAGAATTCAATATGCTAAAGCAAATCGATGGCAACCACCAGTTGATCTTGCATCTAAAAGATTCTCAAATGGTTCAATTCAAGCAACATCATTTGGTCCATGTTGTCCACAAGTAGAAGCTAACATATATATTACTGCACAGGACGAAGAATGTTTATATCTAAACATTTTTACACCATTGAACAGACACAAAAATTCTTTATTACCAGTTCTCGTTTGGATTCATGGAGGTGGTTTTGAAACCGGTTGTTCATCACAAAGTATTCCTTTGGTATACAATGGCACAAATATAATTCGTAATTCTCTTGAACAGCCAGTAATTGTTATAACAATGAATTATAGATTAGGGATATTTTCTGATATGTATCTTGCCGAATTAGTTGAAGAAAATATTGAATGGCCGACAGCAGGAAATTATAATTATTTAGATATGTTATCAGCATTGCGTTGGATCAATATGAATATTCGCGATTATGGTGGTGATCCAAACAATGTGCTACTTTTTGGAGAAAGTTCAGGAGGACGAGCTGTTGGTGACATAGGTGCATTAAAAGGCTCTTTGAATCTCTATCGTCATATAATATCACAATCTGGCAGCTTTAATTCCTTCTCTTTGTATACAAATATAAGTATGTCTCTTCAGAGATCAAATTCCATTGTCAAAAAATTAAATTGCCAGAATAATAAAAACGAAACTGTTCTGGAATGTTTACGTAAGGCTTCTGTAAATGATTTAATTGTTGCTTATGGTGATGATGGGTTGCGTTCAGTTATTGATGGTTACTTTTTCCTATATTATCCTCAATTGGCTATTCAACATGGAACATATAATCCAAACATAAATATGATGGTGGGTTTTAATAAACATGAAATGCCAATTTGTTTAATTTATCCATCTATGAATTCTGAAAATGCTACATCAATAATAAATAACCTTGTAGGATATGGCACAACATCTATGGTTGTTAATTCTAATCGACTAAATGATTGTTCATCAAGTAGTGATGGTCCTAATCGTTGCTGTGATATAGTTGGTCCCATTCTTACTAATTGGTTAGGTTGTGGTGTTCGTCGTCTATATAATTCTATACATATGAAATATAATGGAAAGCAACATAATCTGTTTTGGTATAATATGGACTGTAATGCAGGAATATGTCCACAATTAACAAAAGAGCAAGGTGGTGGTATATGTGCTCATACATTCGAAATTCCATTAGTATTTGGAACTGAAAGTGACTATAGATCATCAAATCAAATTAATTGTACATGGGATAAACAAACACGAATATATTCAAATAAAATTATTTCCCATTGGATTAGCATGGGTACGACAGGAGAACCATTGAAGCCATGGTTAAGATATGATCCATCAAAATCAAATTATTTACAACTAACGCCATATCATGAATTTTCTATGGAATCATGGAATGAAGATTGTTCGATTTTTGATCAAAGCGAACAGGATAATTTATTTCAAATGTTCGGTAGTGACGACGAGTGAATATAATGTTTAAATACAAACAGTTTTGCATGCATTTGCTTTTTATGCTGCTAATGGCCGGGTATAGCTTGAACCTTTTCAAACATAAAACTATATGCTACTTTGTTATTCAGATTGAGCAAGTAAATCAACTAATAGGCCTTTAAAAAAATTATCAAGAAGAATTGAATATAATAAAAAGCATTTGATTCTCGGAAGACTGTTTCGCCTGTAGAAAGTGAAAATGAATTAATTTTGTTAAAAAAAAACAATTATAAATACACAATATTGAAGCAAAACAAATAAATTGTTAGTCTCAAATAAAAATTTCTTTATAAAGCGAAAACAGATTGATAGATATGCATAGGAAATTCATCTGAGAGCTTCAAACTTTTGTCTTTTTTAATAAAGTGCGCTTATTTAAAACATCAGAATTTTTTTGATTTACTTTTACATGGTTTGATAAAGGTCAGTGAGCTCTACAAGAATAGCCATATTGAAAATTTTTAAGCTCTTTCTTTGAAAGAAAATTCACAGAAAATTCAATTTTTTTCTTGCTGTGGGTAAACGCTTCAATTTTCAGTAAAGTTTACTTTGTTTTATTTATGTATTTTGGCGTAAAACACTCACGAAAGTGTTCTTTAGATTCAGCATGAAAAATGCATCCGATTACTTACATTTTATCAAAAAAATATTTCCATGAAAATTCGACTCTTACCCTCCTCCAGCTATTTTTTATATAGTTTTACCCTGTGGTTCCCTACAGCTCGAATTTTCATGTAATTTTCTTTTTGATAAAGTGTAAGTAATCAGATGCAGTTTATCACTCTGAATCCAAAAGTGCTTCTCTGAATGTTTTGCACCAAAATAAATAAATAAAAAAGCAAAACTTCATTGAAAAATGAAGCAACTACCAACAACAAGAAAAAAAAGGATTTTAAAATTTTCAATATGATTAATCTTGTAGAGCTCGCTGAGCTCTATCAAATCATGCAAAAAATATATCAAAAAAAAATTTAGTGCGAATTTCGAATTACTCGCATATTTGAAGTAAAAGAATCGCAAATTTGTACAGCTCATGTCTCCCTTAATAATCAATAAAGTGTTGGGAAATTTTCGGTGTATACTACAGGCATAGAGTATAATAAAATGCACTATTCAAAAGTTGTTTAGGTTCACTTTCAATTTTTTTCGTCAATTGTACCAAAATGTTGCAATTCACTCATATATATATAAACATATTAGTTTTTTTCCTTCGATTCCATTCAAATTCAGACTGAAGCTCAATTGATGATGTACAGAGCTTCTCGAAAAAAAATAATATTTTTGAAGAATTCTCAACCTTATTATATCAGCAACCGAGTTTCTTTATGAGTAGACGGTACTTCTACGAGTTTTTAGGAATTTTATTATATACATATACATATACGTTCACAGACTAACTATTCCACTAAGTTACATCCTTCTACCTATGTATAGTAATACTAGGTTCCTTGTTAATTGGTTTGAAACAGTATGCTCCACAATATCATATTCTTTCACTAGAGGGTCAGCGACGTTCACGCCACGTTACTTGTGTTTCTCACCCTACACCGGCGACGGTAAAGGGTCTATAAATATAAATATATAAAAAGTATAAAGATCGGCTAGTGTATTCATTTTTTTCGTACAGACATTCACAACGCTCGATCTTAGAACTAATTAAATCGAAGATAAAGGCGCACAATATCTTGGTGAAGAATTACAGCAGAATACAGTACGAAAAATAATGTACTCATTGATAGCGTATTTAACTTAATTTTTATTGCATACAGACACTGACAACGTTTAATCTGTCCAAAAATAAAATCGCAGAGAAAAGTGCACAATACCTTAAAAAATTGAAGAAAAAAAAAGTTTTATGCATATTCTCGTGATATATATTTTTTCAAACGCATGTTTGATATTAAATGCCTACGTGTTTTGGGATAAATAAATTTAATAAAAATAACTAATTTATTTAATTTGTCAGAAACAAGATAATATAGTTATCAGCTTGATTCCTATTCTGCAATCAGATGGATATTAAATTCATATAAGGTATTTATGGGTGCGGGTGTTTTTGAGGTGTGTGAATCTGCTATTGACTCGAACCCACGCACCTACGCCCTTACTCTAAGTAATTTTACATGAAAATACAAAGCATTTTCTATCGACTTCAGTATACAAATATTTTTTGCATTGAATGATGCGAGGCGCCCTTTCCCCCTCTTAGTATAGACGTATGTTCAACGGAATTTTGAACACAATTTTCTCCAGTTTGTTGCTTTGGCTGTGTGCATGTGGGTATGAGAGTTTGCGCAAGTCTTCTGTTTCTTTGTACTGACATCTATAATGACGCGCGCTACCACACCTACCCAGGGCATTCAATCCGACAATAGAATCGACTCAGATCCTACAAGAATCCGACGTCCCGGTTTGACTGATCTCTAATATTGCTACTAATTAGTTATTGGCGCTAAATTAATTAAATAGGTTTTTCCGTCGGATCCGTTAATGGATTCGTTTCCCGGAATCCTATCGGATTTATTCACCTGGGATGCGGCCAGATCTCACACTCACATTCGAAAAGTTTGGGTAAAAACTTTTGAGACAACCAATAAATGTTCTGTGTCGATACATAGAACATAAATATTTCAATAAAAACTTATCATTAGTTTTTGAATTGAATGGCTTTTTTTATTTCATATACTTTTTTTTTGCATTTTTTCCAAAATCGTAATCTGATACTATTTGCTCTACCTTCTTTTATTTTACTTCAAATATTAATGTTTTGATGCAGAATAGTAATCATTATTTATTCTGTCTCAAGTATCAGGTTGCCGAGTTCACCAATAGCATTTACGATACACAATTATACTAAAGCAAAGCAATACATAGTCAGGAGAGAGAAGATTTTTGTCGAGTGGCTAAATAAGAAGAAACTGAAGTTTCGTAATTTAAGTAAGTAACGAACTACTTTTCTAGCTCAATATATATTGCAAGCTTAAGAATAGTACAAGAGTGACTAGGGAAAATGGAAACTATTAATCATCTCACATATGTATAACGATTGACAAGTGACTCTGACATTTATATTATGTCTATCGTATATATAGTGAGCACTGGTAACCAGATCGATATCAGAAATTATCGAATAAGTATCATCATTACTAACGATAAAAAAAGACATGTGCACTAGTTATATTGAAACATGTATTAATGCTAACTAGGAACTAAAGCTTAAATCGATAGTTTCTCATTTACTTCAGTATTCTTTACATAAGATTAAACCTATAGCTATGAACAATTGAACAGGAAAGAACGAACAGGTCATAGAAAAGCGAAAAAAAATTTTCGTTCTGCCATCAAACGACTCAACTCCACTTTATCTTCTTCAGCAATTTTAGGCAATAGCAAATAGACTAATTAGTTGAATTCTCTTTGTTAATCATCTAGATTACTCATACTTATATTTCCACTTATCAAAGTATGACAAAAGTAAAAATAAAAATTTGCGATATCGGATTATTCACGAGGCGAAGTAAACCTATTAGTCAATATGATATCGTATCTTATATTGTTATCAGTGGTAGTTTTTTCTTACCATATTAAGAATTAACGGATAATTATTATCAATTTGCTCGGGCCCAAGCAGACAAAATTTTTCAAAACCCATTTAAGCGTTCAAAAAGGGACGAACAACCTAGAAAAAGTGAGTGCGTTTTTATGACATTCGAGGTTCCTGATTGTGGATGAAAAACACTCCCTTTCCTATCTTCTTGTGTGTTTAATTGAGTTTTCGGTCTAAACACGCTTGTAAATGCATTAAAAAAAAGAAAAAAAAGTGGTCCTTATATTGATACTTAAGAAAGCTTATGATGATCCCATCATTGAAAATGCCTACGAAATAAACGACCACTTTTTTTTATGCATTTACAAGCGTATTTTGACTGATAACGCGATTAAACACGTTTTTGAAAAATTTTATTTGCTTGAATGGGTGACGCATACGACGCACACGTAAACGAGAGTTGACTGAACGAAAGAGGAAAATTGATTGCCATCAAAAGATATGATAGTATAATGATAATTGAAAAAGTTGATATAATATCAATCACCAATAGTTTTTACTATGAAAAACTATTCTGTTCAAAATGTGCAACAAAGCTCGTTGCATAATATCAACTTGTGATAGTATCACTGTATTAAATAAAGGAAGAACTAGCATTTTACCTTTATGAAATAACGGCAGAGAATAATATTTGTCAAACAGTCTATTGCATTATTGAAACTTTGGCAAGAAGATAGAGTGAGAAAACGTCTAAAATAATGATGGAGACTCACTATGAACAATTTTTTCAATTACACTTTAACACTTCTCGTTACTTTAATTTCGATGATAAGTAGTAGAAAAGGCTTTAATTTTTAAAAATTTCGATACAATAATAGTAAGCAATGCTGCTAATATTTTTGACCTGCTCTATATTACATACAATAGACATATTCAAACAGTTCACATAAAATATTGAAAGATCCTAATGTATATCATACAGTTTATGCTACGACGTACCATAAAAACTAAAATGCTAATGCATGAGAAAGTAATGGTCATTTTTAATACGGACATCTTCAATAGCGATATAGACATGCTCATTTGAGTCATAAAATTGCACAACTTTTCCATGGAAATAATAGCTGATTGTGTCCCAGAAATGGCGAATTGAACCACAAAAACGATAATCTGTATAATAAAATTCATCAATTTTACCGAATAAATGGTCGCCTGTATCATGAAAGTGGTCACTTGTACCAAGTGTTACAGACAAACAGATACAGGTGAATTTCGGTTTCTAGGCCCTATTCTTTCAGTCGAGAAAACATACACATTCGAATTGTCAGCTATACTTATTGCTAATCAAAGGTAGATATCAATATTTACTTATATCAACAAATATGGGCGAGTCGGTCGTTACATGATTTAATTATATTCTATTGCGCGTAAATACTACCAACTACTAGTTCAACTATCCCCTAGTCAATTACCAGTGGTAGTTGTAATAACTACCGGTCATTAGAAAAAAAACAGTATGAGAGTAGTATTCCTTACTGGGAACGTAACAATAATAGATTTTTTTCAAATTACAATCTGTTTTTTTAACAAGAAGATTTAACCCACATAATCGTTGATGAAAAATACTTTTTATCCAAAATATTCTCACATCCGGGCATTTTCAACGATTACAACCAGAATTTAGCAAGATAAATTGTAGAAAAGTGTTTAGTTTATAATTTTCCTCGATAAATATGTTTGCATACACGTTAGGACACTCTGAATGCTCGAAAAAACCAATTGCAACTGTTTATAATAGTTTGTTAAATGTATGTGTAGGATATACACAGTATAAACATGCCAAGTAAACAGAGGATTTTTCTAGTCAAAACTGTTTTTTTAGAGCTTCCAGATGGTGCTTCAGATCATTACCGTAATCTAACGATGTTTTACAAATAAGATGATGTTTGTAATAAGAACATTCAACTCTATCAAACGATCAAGATTTTCAATAGAATAGCGACATTTTATTTACAATCTCTTAGGAAAATCTCATGTATTTAAAAGCGTGGGTTGTGAAAAATAGTAAAATAAATTAATCGAAAGCAATTTGGAGGATAAATGTTGATTGTCAAGATAATAAAATTAAGTTGAATTTTTTTGAATGGTTGGGTCTGTTCAATGGTACAGCTCATTTTCCCGAGGCAAACAATTGCTATATAAGAAGATAAACTACCAGGTAGAATATTTTCGAACCGATTTTATTGTACTATATACGTCTCAGGACGTATGGGAATAGAGTATATTGGATAAAAACTTTTATAGTTATCATCACGAAAGAATGGGCATGTGAGCATGACTACAGTTGCAGGAGCAATCACACCCACACCCTGTCAATATAGATATATTATATATATTCCAGTTATATCCTAAGAAAAATAGAGGGCTTAGCTGACTATAAAAATTTGTTTTAGCTATCGAATGGCTTCAAACCACGTTATCGCCAAAAGATGTAGACGATGTGGAAAATTAATATTTCCAGAAAATCTTCAAAAGAGATGTTCTGCAGTAAGTATAATAATATTACAAATTTAGGCATAACTACTTCATAACTTTTCAGTCGATTCTACTAAAACAGCATGCGTTTGCATGCGCAACTTGCAGTGTAGTCTTAGATTATAATGTGGCAGAAGTAGTTGAAAATGTTCCATTTTGTAACAAGTAAATAATATCGGATTCAAACATATAGGCAATATGGCTATCTAAACCTGTTTCATTTTCTTGTTCAGGCACTATTCAGTTGCTCGATGGTCCGTTGAAGACGTAACGGAATGGTTGCAACAAGTTGGTCTGGAGATATTAGAAGACCGATTTAGAGGTTAGTTTTTGCAAATTTACGTGTAATACTTTTAATTTATTTCAAGATGTTTTTCTACTTTTCAAACAGATAGTAGAATCGATGGGAAGAAGTTGCTAGGCAAAGGCTTCAATGAAATTTACCTCAAACATTTTCAACTATCATCGATGGATCGAAAAGAATTTCAAAAACAGCGCGCAAAGCTTAAGTAGGTCTTATCGAAAATTTAGTATTTTGTTGTGAATCAATATATTGAAGTGTCCATGCCAAGGGCAAACGGCGGACTTTTGTACTTCAAGTAACTTTGGCTACTTTAAAATACTTTAAGCTACTTTAAGGTACTTCAAGCTACTTTGAATACTTTGAAGCACTTCGAACTACTGTAAGTCCTGTTGAAGCACTTTAAGAGAGGTTTCACCAGTCCATCGAGAATCGTTGGAGAATGATTTTGTTTTAAAGTTGCCTTTTTTTTTATCTCATTCGATTCCTTGAAAAAAAGTAAGATTATGAAAATTTTTTTAGACTTTTCGGACTTTTCTTAATGGAGTTAGTCTTACGAACAAGAGGGAGGTCAAAAAGATCTCAAGAAAAAAAGGCTTTTCGATTTTTTCTAGTATTTCGGCTATAACTCTGTCATCTTTCATCCTTTTCTTTCTGCGCCACATCTCATTCGAAAGAGTTCATCAAACTGAACAAATAAGTCTCTTATGAAACTTCCAAAAGATGAAAACTTGTTATGTATTATTTTCTCTCACATTATTATACTCAGTTATCAGCGCGACAGCAACGTGATGCTATGACAACAAAACTGAACAAAACGATAATCTACCTCCAATGGAATCGAACCAACGTCTTCTGCTTTCCGGGCAGCTGTACTACCCCCTATACTAGAAAGGAGCGTGTATTATTCGTTTGTTCCGTCTTACGATCGAAGGGGAACACTTCGATCGTAACAAAACTTCATAGGAAAAAAATGCGTCTTTCAAAGCACCCAAGTTATTCGGAACCAGATTGTTTTCAGTGCAAATCATTTTTCGGGGTTACATACGTCGAATAGGAAAGTCTAGTATAGTGCATCTTGTAGAGAATTTTGCGCTCTACAGAATTCGTGCAAAAAATTTCAGAAAAATAACATCACGTTATGTCGTAATTTTCAAGACAAAGAAGAGAAAAGTACCTGTTTTCTATGTAAAACTATAGGACAAGCCAAAACGCTCGAATATTTAACCATTAACTATCCATTTTCAAGAATAATCCATATTATATTTGGAATCAACACAAAAAAACTGAGTCAGACAACCTATATTTTGTTCAAAATATTTTTTTGGAGGAAACCGACACGTACTCCCTCTCACCCATTTTTGAGAAAATTTTGTCTAAGGTCCCCGCAGGAATATGTGAAAATATAAGTCGAATGAAAAAGTGATTTTGAGAATGGAAAGAAAGTTCTGAAGTTGTGAAATGTTGTTTGAGGAGACAAAGACCCATGAATAATCGCTAAAATATTTGTTCTGATTAGATTTATTTTTTCGCATATTCCTGTGGGGGACCATAGGTAAAACTTTTGTCGAAAACGAAAGTGGCCGAAACAATTTCAAAACTACATGGATCGACTCAGTTTATTGTGCTGATTCCAAATATGATATTTGTTTGATATCAAGGGGTGATTATTCTGTTCGAAAACCATGCAATATTAACCAAAAATGACTGCAATAGGGAAGAACCATATAAAATTATGTATTCGATAAAAAAATCTAGCTGGTACGCCTACACAAAGTATAACTTCATAAGACTCAAAGAATCACTATTTTTGACAATATGACCCAATTGGGATGGTATTGGGCATTTATCGATAGAGAAAGACTTGAATAACTAAGATGCTCTTATAAATTTCGATTGAGAACAAAATTCTGCATCGAATGAGGCTACTTTCGACGAATCTATATCGGTTATTCATGAACGTTTAGGTCAGAAACTGATTTTTAGGTCTTTGAAAAAGTGATTCAGATTTTTGTTATTATCCGACAAGTTTTAAAACATGGGGTGATATTTGTAATCAGCACACTTAACTTTATTAAACTATAAATACTCCTGATAGAACGGCGATAAAAACATTTTCGATCTCTGAGGGATAGCCCAGGTGTGAAAAATGGAATTATGAGAAAATGAAATATAAACTTGTGAAAAATAATCAGGGATAAATGCTGATCATCAGGATAATAAAATGAGGTTAACATTGCTTGGGCCATCTAGACAGCAATTTGAGATATCTCCTTTGAACAAAATAGTGAAAATTCTGAAACTCAGCTAACCCTCGTGTATTCTTTTTGACTTCAACGAGACAAAGAAAGGCACTTTATTTCGTATGATCCACCGCTCAGTCGAGAGAATAAGCGCTACATGCTGGTTCGTTTTTGGAAAGCTTAAAAGTTTGAAAGCATTTAACTGAAACTATGCTTTTGAGCGCTTTCCTGTCAAATCCTCTCAAATCGAGATCCCATTGAGTCAAATCCAGGATTTGGATTTGACAGGATTTGGGTTTGGTGGGTGATAGTATGAACAGGGCGTATGTAGTCTTGCATAGCGATGATAGGAATTCGTTATCAGGCTTCTTTGCTAACTTTTCTAAATTCTGCTGTGACCTTGGATGACGAAATTGTACGTATCAATTCATACAGCCCAAAACCGACTCTTTAGCATTAACTACAGGGCTGACTGAAGGACAATCATCCACACAAGAAATGCCGTTAACAGTCATCAAATTATGTATCATATTTGTATGGCCCCAGGTGGTCTGATCATGAACAAATGAATAGCCATGCAAATTTCGAACATAATGACCAATGGCAAGTTGTATGTGTTGTAAATCTGTGATAGAATTGCTGGAGCTTTGAATAAACACCAAACGAGATCGATGGTTGTACCAAACTGCTCGAAATATGTTAATACTATACTTCACTTAACCTACAAATGTTCTTGGTCGAGAACCACCAATAAGAATCCCATAAACAGTACCAGTTTCATCCACTTGAAAGTTCTTTTCGTCGGAAAAAATTATATTCTGCCGGTAGTTTGATCTGTTTGCATAGCAACACTGAAATCGACGTGCAGCTTGCTGTTCGTTTATCTGCCAGTGAACTCTTGCGTGAACTGGATTGTAGTTTTCGTTAAGACGCGCTTCTTGAAGTATTCGAGGACTAACTGTGACGCCATTACGTTGTTCCACTCGATCAGTAATTGATAATAATCTATCACTAGGCTGTTGTGGCATAATTTGTTGGAGATGTCGTCGAACTGGGCCATTCATTAGCCTGTGTCTTCCTTTCCCTTCTCGTTCTAACGTATCATGTGTCTTGAAATAATTGAATGATGTTCCGTAGTGTTCAATGAACAATTCAGCATTTCGGCGATCTGTCGCAAGGACAAATTGTTGTATTGATGTAACGTGATACTTCTCCAACGCTAACCTATGGAAAGATGTTGGGGCATGCTTTTTTGTAATTCGTTTGATATGAATACCATACATATCATCCACTTTACATCTCTCAAAACGCATCATATGATAGACGAACAACCCCGGAGGATTCCGTTCCTGTCACTTGATAATTAAATAGTAATATAACTAATTAGGAGAGAAAAAAATAAAAAGAATGAAAATGAAAAATAGTGTCCTTACAAAAACACAAAACCACATAAAATATATTGTCTTGTTTTTAACGAATCGTTGCAGTTAAAGATTAATTATATAATGTATCGTTAGGCATTGCCACATAGTATTTATGGCATAAATATGAGTTATAAATCCTATCTTTTAGTTGACTAATTGTCAAAAGCTAGGTTTATAGTTAATTTCCGTCAGGGGGATATACAAATCGAGGAGAGTATATGTAAAATAGCTGTGGAAACTTTATCACAAAATACCAAAAAATGACATTTTTTCAGTCCATAGAAACTGAAGATCATTTAGAAATTGACAGAATAGATTGACGCGTTCACATAAATTCTATTTAATCTTAATCAGCATATGATCTTCTATTGTGATTCATAAAAAATTCTTTCAAAGTTTGAAGAAACGTTTTTTCATAAAATCTCCGTACTCCCATCCAGCATTTTTTATACATATCAATAGAGCATCATATGCTGATTAGTAACAGATAGAATTTATCTGAGTGCATCAATCTATTCTGCCAATTTCTAAATGATCTTCAGTTTATATCAACTGAATAGTTTCATTTTTGGTATTTCGTAATAAAGTTTCCGGGGCTATTATACAAGTACCCATGTCCATTTATATATAAATTTGTAGTACTCAGTGTGCATCTTAATATAGAATACGGTCGATTTCTATGAGATCCATTCCCTGAGGAATCCAACTATGTCAAAATCGTGATTTTCGCTCAAAGCAATGATTTATGATATAACTTCTAAGAGATAGGAATTAGTTGGAGACTTCACTATTTCATTGGAATAAGTATTTAATAAAGTCTCTTGACAGATCAAATTTTAGCTCTCTAACACAATCACTTCATGAGGATACACGGTAGGAACAGACTTCAATAATTAGCTTGAAGTTCAAAGAGATGAATCGATTTCGAAACCGTTTCTGCTCGTCCCAAGTTTTTTCTGTGCCACATTGTAGACCATTATTTACTCTTTCAGATTACAGAACTCCAGTAAAATTCCAGATATGACTAGCCTAGAAAATCGAAAGCAAATATCGGGTTTTTGATGAAAAATTCGATTTTGTTCAGAATACCCAGACTGAATGCTTCTCCGAAAGAAGCTGATATTTTACCTGTAAAGAGATCCAGCCGAGATGTGTGTATAATGAAACTTTCAGACTCATATCTATTTTCGGTTCAGAGATAGTAACCGTTAAATTTCTTAAAAAAATTAATTTGGGCGGTTTTTGTGAAATCCATCGAATACCAAGAAATAGCCCGGTATAGTTGAAACATTTTTAATGAGCAGAACTGAATCAAGTATGAAACTACACAAAATTTCAGTGTGCTCGGCTGAAATGCTCTTGAGATATAGGATGCCGAAAATCGGCTTTAGTAAAAGTAGAATTTTCTAGGGTTCTTCGTGGAACTCGAATAAAAAGCGAACGGTTCCATATTTCTTGAATCGCCTCTCAGCAAAATACATCAAACGCTTGCCTGTGTCACATATATGAAAAGGAGCGCAATCCGACGACATGAATTGCACACTTTCAGTCGTGGCTTACGTGGACTGGTTCATGTGTGGATGGTGAACTGTTGCTGCATTGTGTTTTCATATCGTTTGTTTAAAAATGGGATCATTACCATTTAACATAATACGGCGGGCTTAACAGAAAAATTCATTGAATTCTACTATTAGTCGATTACAAATTTTTTGAAAAATGTTCGAATTCACTTGATATTCATTTCTATTATGATTTTTTAGAATAACTCCGATTAAATAAGCAACTGGAACATTGAAAATAGCCGCTAGATTTTATTTTCTTACTTCTTTCATGAAGAAAGAAATGTTATTTCCCGAAGCACTATGCCAATTCCTATCCCTGGACTAATCGCTGTTATATTTAGTTATGCATATTCTAAAAACCAGAAGAACTTAATTCGATTGATAAAAAGATTGAGAGCTTTTTGACACTTCTTTGAGGCAGTGGCGGCGGAGCCATTGAGACAGGTGAGGCTTGAGCCTCACCTAGTTTTCAGTAGATGAGGCTCAGCCTCACCTAGATTTCACAATATGAGACTCAGCCTCATNATCAGAGTAGAAGCAAAGAAAACTAGTTTTCGGTATTTTCCAATCTTCTTTTTTTATACTGACCATTTTTATTTTTACTGAAGTTCAATAAAAAGAAGACTTATTTACTACTTGATGTTTCTTAAAACTCCACGGTAGCAAAAAAATATGATGAGCCTCGCCTAGCTTAATGACGCTCCGCCGCCCCTGTTTTGAGGATATTGGCCACCATCAATAAGCGAAATTATACTTCATTGCTGCTTTTCACTCGTTTTATAGTTCATACCATACTTTATTACAAAAAGAATTACAAGTAAATAACATGTTTTATTTTGCGGAATACGTGAGTTCCACCTTTCAGCTACAAAGTAGCTGTGCTAGCAAGCCTTTTTATAAAGTAAAAATGTATAAAGCTATCGCATACATTTTTTAGCATGATTTTATTTTATTTTATTCACTTCCAGAGTTTTTAGGACTGTTAAAAGTACTTTGAGCAACTTTAAGCTACTTTAAGCTACTTCATGCCACTTTACGCTACTTTGAACTGCTTTGAACTACCTTTGTACTTTGATGTACTTTTCGACGACTTGAAGTACGCTGTTTTCCCCTTGGGTCATGCTCTAATTCAGCTAACGTAAGAGGAATTTCTGATGAACATATTGCATGTATTCCTTGAAGTAGTATTTCTCGTGACAGAAAGTCTAATGAATTGAAAACTTAAATCAAGACCACTTGTGAACTTTGTCAAAAGTCAATCGTCGGTAAAATTTTAATTTTCAGTTTAATTATGCTCAATGAAAAACCTCGCCTAGTCATAGCGAATGCTAAAATATTCGTTTTTTGACTTGTTTGTGAAAAATGCTAAGATATACAAGCTACAGACTATTGATACTGAGTAAAAAGATCGTGATTTTTCGGTGTCTTTACTATTGTGTACTTTTATCTGCGTACGGTGGTTTTTTGAATTCAAAAACGTGTCAAAATATCCGAAAATTTTTTCTCTAGAAAACGTTGTAGTTTATTAACTTCTACAATACTTTTCATCAAGAGATAGTGTACATAGCTAGACAACGCCAATGATTTTTTAGTATTTTGACTAGAGACATGCTAAATCATGCTACCCTAGAACGATACAAACTGTCCACTCTTTGAGTTATTATGCCAACTGATTAGAATATCAGCAAAAATGGTTACTTTATAAAATAAGTGTCAACAGCTGATAGTAATCTATATCCATTCTTGATGTGCGTATGAGACGAGTTTTAGTTAAGTCAGTTCCATATCGAAACCTATACCCGATTTGCACCATTATGCATGTCTAGTCGCCTACATTCATCCTATTTAGAGTATGTGGAAGCAATGAGTGGAATAATCGCAAGCCGTGGAATCCACCCGATGAAGTAAGTAAAAGTCTCACTATGCATAGCAACACTAATTTCTCTTTAGCAACCACCAATATATCCAGCTCCTTCGATGGATGATATTTCACGCAATATTGTTCCTAATCGCAACATTCTGAAAAGTAATGAAAAAGTCAAATAGTACTTCAGTACAAAGTATAATACATTTTTATCGTATGTCGATTAGAACCATCATCGATAGCGTCTTCAATTGGAAATCTTTCTATGATTACTACAGTAAGATGTTCATACGAAGTTTGAAAAATGTCTCAATTAGAATTTATCTCAAACTTGTAAGGACAACGTAACCATCTGGACAGTTGACGATGTCGCTAGTTGGTTAGCAACGATCAATCTGCACAAATATATCGACCATTTTAAAAGTAAATTGTCTAATAAAATTTTTCATCCATGGCATTGATGATGCTTGAATTAATCGTTTTCAGGTAATGAAATTGATGGTAATACATTACTAGATTTTGATGGAGAGATGGAAAACGAAATGATTCCTGTAGGCAAAGATCGTCTCGCGTTTCGACAAGCTCTGAGGCAATTGCGGTAAGTGTACTCGGCATGGTGAGTGACTTGTCACCTCACATTAAAGAGCATCAAGCACCGATATGCAACATGATTTATAATTCTATTTTTGAAAACGGCTCTCATAAATATTAAATAGTAGTGTGCCAACATTAAATGCGAGTCTTTAACTCAGACTGTCTATAATCAGTTCCCAAACATATTTTTACATACAGATGATAGAAGGTGGTAGTGCTAATTACATTTTTTTTTCATTGGCTACATATGCATGCCAATATTGATATGATGTTTACATATGTACAGAAAAGAGGATGTCTCACAAAGAACAAGAGACAGAAAGGAAGACATAATAGATCAAATCGGTCCATTAATACTTCTCTAGTCCAACAACACTTATTTAGACATCGATGAAAAGAACATGTTGAGACTAACATCTCTGCATTGGTTGCAAGGAAAATTGCTTGAATTTTGAGATATGAAAACTATCAACGATGTCATCATACAGTTTTGCTCAAGAATTAATCGTCTGAAAATAAGTATGCAATTAGTTTATATATAATACAAAGCAGCGGAACTTCAGTGTCAAAATCACTTCATCTACTAAAGTAGATTTATAATCTCTAATAGCATTATGAGTCTCGTAACTTAAGAGAGAAAAGCGTTATGAGTTGTCTCATTGTTCATTTCTCACCCAAATACTATGCCTACTTCCAGCGTAAGTTTGGTTGCATTCCATCGTACTGTATACGAATTAGACTATATTTACTCAAAATATCTATACAGTAAGAAAACATTAGCTTACACCCGAATGCTTCCTAGATTGGCAATCGTTGGACAGATTAATCAGAAATTTTCAGATGTTTCGCCAAGAGTGACCATACAACTCCGAAAGTCTCAGCAGAAAACTCAATAAACTAAACCAGCGTGCGACTATTTCTCTGTAGATTTGCATTCTCAACCATACATAAGTTCACGCTCGTTCTCACTTCTGTGCTTGCTATTTTTGCCACTGATCGGAAAATTCCATAAACTTCATCAAAAATGTAACAATCTACGTAATACTTTTTTGCCACTTTACTCATCGTTGTTTAGTTATCGTAGAAGTCTTGCTCAACCAATTTTTTTTATGTAAATGCTTTTTGTTTTCTCCAACATTGCTATTCTTTCATAGTGAGGAACCCAATACTACTAGGCCAACGACAACTCATCCATCGGCCAATGAAAATCCATCGCAATTATATGCAACACCGCATGCTCCTTGGGAGACAACTAGATTTGTTTACAATGTCGGAGGTCAGTAGTCTTTCAATTTTTATTGCATATTTTGATGAATAATATATTACAAAGATTTTCAAAATCGATTCAGATTATATCTAAAAATGATGTCAATTTCAAATATGAAGGACTCTGAATTTCATAGTAAACGGATAGAAATCTAGTTATTATTGCCACCATTTGAAAGAGCACCTTTCGAGTGGCAACTTCGCAGTTCACTTCTTTTCTTTTCAATCAAAAGCTAGTGAAATAATCAAGGGAGAAATGGTATATTTTCGTATTTCAGAAACGCAGGGTTTTAAAAAGTATCAAGAAGTGCCAGAAAGTACGAACAAATATGCACATGTATGAAGGAATATAATAAGTATAAAAGAGTGTACCATTTTCTTTTGCGTCGCACGGAGAAGTTTGAGAACATTTTTAGAAGTAAAAGAAACGATATGCAGAAATATACGGCATATAGAAATACTTCGATAATTTGAAGACGATCATTGTAAAATGAAATATATTTGATTTGCTATGAACTTTTACAAGTATCAGCCTGTTTTTTTCTCTACTCATGGCATTCAATCCGACGAAATCCTATCGGAATCCGACGTCCCGTTTTGATTCATCTCTAATATTGTTGCTAATTAGTTATTGGTGCTGAATTAATTAAATAGGTTTTTCGGTCAGATTCGTTTCCCGGAACCGTATCGGATGATCGGAGCCGATAGGTTCCGTTATCAGATTTATTCACCTGGGTATGTGACTTTCTATTGTGTCAACACGTCAAATATCATTAAAATAAAAAGGAATATAAGAGTTATGAATTCTCTGAAGGATCATTCTCGAACAAGAATGATAAAGAAAAAAATTACCCTTAAGTTGACTCCTAAGTAAAAACCAGTGATACTTGCACTTGTCTGGGATATCAAAAATGGTTTACTAATTTCATTTCCAATCCATAGCTCATCTAAATGCAATTTTGATCGATTGTTATTTACTTAACTATTAGAAACATGGTGAGAAAGCAATATGTTTGATTACATCAGATTATAATGTGAAGTTGCCAAGGAGGAACATCTGTCTCTAGATGCTTTTTTCTTATTTTGCGATATATTTTCGAGATCTGGTTTTTGTAAGTAACATATAATGCTGTATGTTTTCGAATCTCCAGCAAGTTACGATACAAAACTAGTTGACAAAATGCCAAATCCTATTTCTCTGCAGCAAAAAAATATCAGGCAAGCTTTTACTTATTCATTTTGAACAGAACAACAGCATTCTGTTGATTGAGTTCCGGAAACATTATGAACTATATTTTTAAATATTTTCTACGCTTTTCTCAGTCGATTTTTAAATGAATTTCTTCTTTTAATTATGCAAGTTTTACTAAATGCAAATTTTATCATAAAGAGCATTTTCAAGAATCGACTGTTCATATTAGTACCGTGATCACAATGAGGTTTATATTTAACCACTGATACAACTTGTGCGGCTATAGTTTTGATTATGTAAAAGTAAAATTATAGAAGAGACAACATCCGATATCGTAGATGAAGCACAGTAGTTTTTAAGATTTCATGCAATTTGTAGACTGGTTTGTTTTGAAACAAGGAGAAAATAATGTCTTCAATCCTAAAAGTTGACTATCAGTTGCTAGTAATTTAACAAAGGAATTGTTGTTTGATAATAGATAAGAATTTACATAAGGCTTCATATTTGATTCTATAACAGATATGCACCAGACTTCAACGCAGGTTATGGATATCGCCTTAATGCTGAAACCAGATATGATGATTCATTCGATTGGTTTGGAAAACCCTGTTTTTGAAAATAATCTCGCTGAAAATTTAACGTCATGGTGTCGCTTCTTTTGCTCACATCTATCACCAATTCAACAATTCTCCGATGAATTAGATCCCTGCTTCATAACTATAATTGACGAACCGATGAATGCACCTATTCTGCTGAACGATATAATGAAACATCATACAATAAAAGCCTACGTTGTTGATAGTTTAAAGCGTTATCATGCTGTTGATGACATTAGAATTGAACTGCCAAAATGCAGACAAATCAACTATGATGAAACAATGAATAGTCGTGATTCATTTAAGGAATTACTCAGAATTTTACCACATGTTACTGTTCGCATGCTTCTTATTTCGACAATGGAATCATTATCGTATGATAGTCAACGGTATTTGGGTAATTTTATAAAAAAAAATGATTTGCCAATTCCATTTACATACTATTTTCACAACAATGAGTCTAATTCAATTCAGTATAAAATTAATTTTAATCCTTTGGCCGAGATACAGTGTTTGTCAGCAGAATGTTTGGTAATACAGGTTGGCAGTTTAACAGCTCTTGGTCTGGGAAAAACTAGTTTACTTCCATACATTTTTCGTGATAAACGTAAAGAATCATTAAATACACTTGGCACACAATCTATGCGTTCTGGTTGTATCGATACACTCTTCGGCACCATGCAGATCGATCAAAATAGAGAGAAGTCCTGCGTAATATTCGATGTTCATGGAACACTATTATCAGGCATAAATGATAATATTATTAGAGCTCTTCAACAGTATGCATCATTGCAATTTCTGTATGTTACTCAGGCTGATCTTGACTCGAAATTTTTACCTTACATGATCAATAATAGTCTGTCTAAACCGACTGTCGTATGCATTTTTGATGAGCATTATGATGCACATTTACGTGATGGGCACGCAAATCCCATTGAACAATTTAGAAATCGCTATAAAACGGAAGATTGGCCCCATGTTCAATGGTTATTAATTCCTACAAAAAACGCATGGTTAAAACAATCGGAGAATCAGCAATACGATGAAACTGAAAGAATACAGTCTTTACGTGTTCAATTAGATCGTATATTTTTACAACTTGAACCGGCAATAACTCGCCAACCACTATTCAGAACAATATTTGCTGTGCAATCATTGTATTGGTCTCTACACAATGGTACGACTAGTTTGAATTGTCCGACATACTATTTCAAAATTGAAGATAGATTGAAACAATTATTTGATGCATTGTCAGATACAACTGATAATTTGCTAATAGCGACGCCAATCAGTTACCTACAAGCCAAAATAAGACAAAGTCAAACGGAACTATTTGGAAAGTACACGACGGATGAAGTCGCACGATACGAACGCTTTCTAAAGACGGTCGATCGAATATCAGAACATACACAATTTTTCATTGATCTCCTAACGAAACATACCTATATTGAAATGTTAATATCAGAAAAGTATCTTGAACAGTGGAGATCAATTTATGAGTCACGTTTACAAACTGACTTAACAAGTGAAAAACATAAAACTATACAGTTAACTTCAGAATTGAAACGAATCGAAATGTTGCAAAAACAGCAAGCGCAGAATTCAGTTGAACTACAACAACAATTACGATTAGCAAAAGAAAACTACGACCGAAGTCATCAAAAATTGAACCAAATTGAAGTCAAATTAATGAATATTGACATAACGATTGGTCTCTTTTTTGATGAAATATTAGCTGTTAGTGATTTCAATTCAAACTTAAGAGATCCATTGTCAGTAGAATTACTAGGTCAAATAGCGAAACGAATGACAGAAATGATGCATCGTGGTATGGCTATACATGTTCTACGTGGACGACCGTTGCATTGTGAAAGTGTTTTACTGAAAATACTTTTAAGAAATTTCAATAAATGGCGTAATCGCCCATGTATTATCACTGTTATCGGTGAACAATCTTCAGCAAAGTCATCTCTACTCAATACAACATTTGGTTGTAATTTTCGTGTTAGTTCCGGTCGATGTACGATGGGCATATATATGAGTATTATTAGATGGAAATCGTTACCAATTATTCTACTTGATACTGAAGGTTTGATGTCAGTTGAAGAGTCAAGTACACTGTTTGATAATCAAATGGTGTCGATGGCTATGCTGTCCTCACACATTGTGTTAATCAATCATAAAGGGGAATTGAGTACGGAGCTACAGAATTTAATTGGAATGAGTTTTTATGCAAAGCTACAACTCAAAGATGCACCTATCAAACCCAAACTATTGTTCATTCTTCGTGATCAAACCGACTTGACTAACAAGAGAGTATTTTTCGCACAATTAGCTCAGTTAAAACAAAATCTAAATAAAGATGCTAAATTTTTGCGAATATCAATCGAAGATGAACTTAATATATCAAATGATGACGTTGTTCCATTTTCTAATGCTTTCTCCAATGACATCAATCCAATATTTGGTGAAACACAAAAATGGAGAAATAAATCCTTTCCAGTCGAGATTCAGGCATTACGTAACATCATATTCCGATTTCTTTCTATGAACGCTAATTTAGAGGCATACGAAGACTTTGATCAAGTCTATACAAAATTATCAAATTATTGGGCAACTATTGATAAACTAGGACCGGTATTACTTGCATCAAAGAATTTATTGGAACTTGCTATGATGAATGAAGTACGAGATATTGCACGAGAAATTATACAAAAAGCAAATCATCAAATGTATGACAATGGACAGCGATTGATAAAAGAAACTATAGCAAATATAAAAAATAACGCAAAATCAATATTAACAGCTGCTGGTTTTGCTAATGCTAGTGATGATTTTAATATGCTATTGAACGGTCAACTTCAACAAATTCTCAATCAGGCTTACAATAAATTTGATGAAAAAACGAAAAAATCATACTATTTACCACATATAAAAGAAAAAGTAAAGAGTATCATTGAACCGCGATTGAGGTTCACCTGTCAATCGACACGGCAACAATTTGAAGAGGATCTGCATTTCGTATCACAAGCTGCACTAGTAAAACATGCACAACAAAAATTAATAGATCGTGCCCAAGAAGGATTTGATCAAAATAAAACCATAAGCATAGATGAATTTAGATTGAATCTTGAAAATGATTACCAATCTTTGCTAATAGAATGTAGACAACAACTGGATAGTTTACATGAGAAAGAAGACGACATTACCAAAAAAATATTAACATTCTATAAAAATTTACATGATCGAAAGGCAGCAAATCCAACAATTGGTGATATTTATAATCTTTTGCCTAAACTAGACGTGGAACATTATAAACGATATTGCGAAAAATTCAAAAATAATTGGAACCAAATAAGTCAGTTTTTAGATATGCCACGAGACAACATATTTTCTGTCGCAGCTAACAGACATCCTTCAGCAGCACAAACCGATTTGGAAACAATGTGGATCGACTTGAAACAAAAGTTAAAATGGTTTAATAATGAAAAATCTGCAGAAAAAAATCGTAGTATACTGTCGAGTGTTTTCAGTGTGGTATTGCCCAAACTGAAAAAAGATATTATCAGTTTATTAAGAGACAGAAAGCTCTCATATACTGATCCGGAAACACTTAATGCAGTAATTTCATATGTTGAAAATTCATTAAATATGAAAGAAATTAAAGACTATGAAAAGGATCTGAATCTTGGAGAAGTTGTTACCGATTTTGTTATCATATCGCTGAAAATATTCATTTCTGAAGCAACTTTAATATCCGATGATAATTATCAGAAAGAACTGACACAATCTGGAAATCAATTACGTGATTGGAAAACTAATATAGAGAAACAATTCGAATCAATGAAAAACTCATTTCAGCAAGGACAATATGAAGCTGAAGAAATTGGAAAGCAAATTTTTGCTGAAGTCAAACGTTTATTACTAACTCAAGTTCTTCGTGATATTAAAGCAGATGTTATGAAGAACAAATTTATCATTCACGACCATATGCGTAAGAATGCCTATCAACAAAGTTTTCATCAAAATAATGGTGCAAACATATTGAAATATGTTCTTGATATCAATCGGTATCTACAAGAATTAAGCTTGGAAGAAATATTAGGTACATTTCGTAATGTTGTCAATATGCATATGAACTATTTAGATAACTTACTTTCAACTATATTTTATACTGCTAATAATGCAATTCAAAATCAGGCGTATAACAATATAAGTAGTATATATAATGCTGTACAAAATGCTGTATTGGAAGTAAATCTCCTAAAGAAAATGATGCATGAAGAAAGTGATATTGAATTTAAACTAGTAGCTAAAATGAATTTACCAATAAGAGATCCGACGCAGTTTCAACTTGGTTTTAGAAATATATTGGCAGTATTCGCCACGCATAGCAATTCTGAGAAAGAAGCTACGTCACATTTATTAAGAGTGACAGCATTCGACGATTGCAAATCGACTATCAAACGTCGTCTTGGTTGTGAACATACATGTCCAGGATGTGGTGTAAAATGCAGCAAACCAAGTTCCCATCCAGCAGAACAAGTAAGAAAACTACCAGAAAACTGCAAATGTACAACAAGTGAGTGCACCTGTCAAGAAGTTACGTACGTGGATTGTATTAGTCATGAGAACGATCATCATATTCCGGCTGCATTCTATGGCCAACGGTATCATAAGACACATAAACCATATTTACATTCCTGTTATCAACAATGGACAACCGTCGGTGTTCAAGTTAGCGAAAATGAGATAATTCATCCAAAACGATTATATTATAACCAAAAACATTTGCAATGGTATACAAATCTTGATAATTTGGCGAACACTGCTCCCGATAAAGACGATCCTTATCCGACTGAAGAGCAGCGACGCGCATGGATGACCGTAAGACATTATTTAACAGCGAAATATAATATGAACGATTACAAGGATGACGAATATGATGAAACATTCTACCCTAAAGACTTTAGTGCTATACCTCCAGATTTCCAGATAACATGGAAAGACGAAAATATTGACAATTACTCATGATAAACTGATTTTTTTATTCTACTTTTTAAATAATCATGAAACAAACAAAGAGATTCTTTGTCTAAAACTCTCTACTAAGACGTCATGTTATAAAGTGAAAACATTATAACAAAGCTTTTTCACTATAAGCTTTGAAATATTCAGCTACACTGAATGTCTTAGTCGCGCAATAAGCTTCTCAGAGAGAGAAAGTGGAAGTAAACAAATAGTTTCTTTCTTTCTGTATACGTCTGATTAATATAGAAAAAAAAACTTGCAAATGAAACAAGGATGGCGATATTTGAAAAGTACTGTTATTCATTTTTTGCTTGTCAAAAATCATCGATTGTCTGGATTACGAAAAGTAAATATGTGTGAAGTTTACATTCGCAGTAAAATATACAAAACTTCTTTTGTTTTCTAACCATTTTCTTCGATTTATTTCAATTTGTGTAACACGAAACGCAGGTAACTTCTATTTCGAATACGTTTACGAAACCAGATACAACGCGTGAAACCGAAAAACTTAGCTACCATCAACTAGTTCTTGTCTTTTAGACAACAATTCATTCTTTATCAACTATATACTACCTTGCTTGCTCTCCTATTCAAATTCATTTAAACCACATTTGGAATTCCTGCGGTGCTATCATATAATAAAGTTTCGTATTTTCTTTCCACCTTCACACCATCGACTTACTCGTTAACAAGTTGCATTAGTGTGGGTCGTCCTCGCATGATTCTATTGTTCCACATCATATAATCCAAAAATCCTCTGTCTAGCTATCGGAGTGAGTATCGTCACATTGATTGCTCACTCTGGCATGCATGTGCATGAACTAATGTATTGCACAATAAGCCAACATCTTTCTGACTGCACATAGTCGAATGAAGACAGTTGGATATAAGATGATCGCTACAGTGACGCAGCCAGGAATTTTTAGGAGAGGGGATCATCATAGGAAATGTTGCTTTTTGAATTGTAAAAACGAATAAGCCTGTACCCCCTTCAGGTATTTCAATCTTTCTGCGGGGGGGGGGGGGTGGTCCCCCCGCGCCCCGGAGGGGTACGTCGCTGGATCGCTAATGGAATTTTGAAGCATCGGCTTGAGATTCAGAAAGAACTCTATATCAAACCTGCCATCAGTATTCTCTCAGCAATGTCTAAAGCAATTCTCCATTCATTTTTGCATACATATCATTCAGTGATTGATCGCGCCAGACATTACTTCATCCCTACCTGCAGTCATATTTTCTTCGAATCCTCAACATTACTCTCAATGTTCTGCCATCGGCTAATTACAAGAAATAATTTCCTTTGAGAATGTTCGACGCGAGAAAGACTGAAGTCACCATATCCAAGACGAAAACACAATCATGGATGTAATTTAAATTATTCAAACGTATTCTGATTCACTGTCATATGAAATTTTTCTGTATTTATTTAGCATGGGAAATGAAAATTCAAAGTCAACTCTATTTAAAAGAAACACATCTATTCAGATGTATGTAGACAGATGTTTCAATTCAATCGATGGATACTACTAGGATGCATATATTTTGAGATGATAACAGCATTGAAATAGCCGTTTAATGTGAAGAAAAGTATGCCCGTCTGTTAATACGATATGTCTTCACTAGGCTGATATAAAATCGAACCGTTAACAACGCATCTAATTCTATATTCAAGCATATTAGGCGTTCAGACGGATGCTATGTTTGATACAAGAACTGAAAATTTCACTCCATAAAAGATGCGCTTCGTTGCTGCCTGGAACCGTTGTAAATCAAATTTGAACATGCATGCTTTTCAACAAGTGATTGTCGAACCGCACAGTTTCTTCAATCAGCACCATACATCTTGAAATTCGAAATGAATTTAAAAACATCATTTCAGTTCAGTGTTGAAAACAAAAGAAAATCGAATAGCCACTTCATCAGTTTCACTCATTGAAAAATCAGAGAAATGGTCAATTACCATAGCTGATGTTCACCTTCATACAAGAGTCATAAGGTTTACTAATCTAAGAACGTCACCCAAATTGAAATTGGAAAATGCCTCTTTGTCTAGCAGTCACCTAGAACCTCGTTGTGCAACAAAATAGTAAGAAGAACATAAGTGGCCGTTGTGATGGGAGAATACTGATCAATTTTGCGTTGAAACCTTTGATGCATCATTAACAATATAATGTTGTTCTTCTACATGCATTAGTTATGACTCGACTTTCGTTTTGTGAGAATGTCAACATATATTTGGAATGAAATAGTTTACATAGGGCTCTATCTAAATGTCATGTACACCATCAACATAATCCTTCTCTAGATAACCTATTTCCACCATGAAATTGACTTTCACTGCATGGTGTGCATATAACTTGCCCTATATGCTGAAGTATTTTTCATTATCATTTTAGTTGGCTGATGAAAAAATGGGTAAAAGAATTAACAATCATCCGCATGTCTCATGTATTCTATTTGCAAACATTAGTAGAACGTACCGTTTCTTTATCTTGTGGTTTCACCTTTAATCTATCTCACAGATTTATTATACACTTCATCATCTAGTGTCAAAGTTCAGCCATTAATAAAGCAATATGGATGAGAAATCAAGAATTGTATCGTATGTAAGCTCACAAGGTTGAAACAGAAATTCGTTGGCATATTTGTTTCAGTGACATTTAAAATTTGATTTCTGTTTTAGTCTTGCTAGAGTATATAAGATACAATTCCAGATTTCTCACTCATGTCTAGTTATAACAGGTAATATATTATCCTTGAAAGCAAAAGCTGAAGTCAGTGTTTGGGCTCTTTTGATACATTAAAATGATATTTTGGACAAAGCAAATGTATTATTTAATAACACTTGGCATTCTCTATCAAGCGGTATACTTTGATATTATCTTGCCTTTATTTTCAGAAAGACGAAGGAAGTGAAATGAAAGCACTCTTATGGTCTGGTTCTCAATCAATCGATTTTTTCTTCGTCTATTCAGTCACATTTTTCAATGAATTATACCTTGAGTAATAACTCTTTTCAGAAACTATATACATAATCTGATAGGGCTGAAAATTCTTTACGAAATTTTCAAGAAACTCAACTTTTCTTCTATTGGAACAAGTTCTCTCAGAAAAAAGTTAAATAATTGTTAAAGCTCTTCAAACGTACTCTCAAGGAATACTTAATGAGGAAATAACACAAAAATTCAGCGTTTTGAATTATGCCAATTGAACCAACATTAAGCTGCTGGAAATTTTATTTCGAAGATTAAAGTAGTGCCGCGAGAGAATAGAAAAGTTTGTAGAGAATTTTTAGCGTTGCCTGACTATGAATATAGTTTCTCAAAGAGATTATTGCTCAATCTATAATTCATTTAAAATAGTGACTGCATAGACAAGGAGAAAATCGAGTGAATGAGAATCAGACCATGAGAGTATTTTCAATTCACTCGCTCCGTCTCTTTGAAGACAAAGACAAGATCATATCGGAGTATACAGCTTGATAGAGAATTCTAAGCGCTATTAAATAGTATATTTACTTTGTCCAAAATATCCTTTCAAAGTATCAAGAGAGCTCAAATACTGACTTCAACTTTTACTTTCAAGAGGAATACCTATCTGTTAAATGAATTAGAGGTAAAAGTAGAAATTAAAGAAGCAGTGTGTTCTATTTATTCTTGCCAAGAGATTATATCTAGTTTCAATGAGAAAATCTTGTGATCAGTATGAACATAACAGAGCGTGTGTTCCCCATTATATATAAATCTCGTTATTCAAAGCAGTTCGTATATTTCAGAGCATGCCTTAGCACGAGTGGCACTATTCTTGTAGCTGTAGCTGACGTTGATGAATGCTGATGAAATAAGATACTAGTATATCTTCTACAGTAAAGCACTTTCTATCCTTTGAGATGTTAATGAGCCTAAATCTTTCAGGCGTGATAGGAAACATATCATAATATGAGGAAGAAAACTAACGAAACAACATCTGGATTGTATTCATAGAAAGTCGGTACGAAACAATAGGACAGGATGTTCGTTATAAACTTATGATCACTTGTATCAAGAAGATTTTCAATAGACGAGCATTTCTATGCACTTTCTTTCGCTTAACTTTTGAATTTCTAAAACTTCAAAAGTAAGTTGTACTTAGTAATTTGTTTATAACTCACCAACTGGAGGTTTTCATTAACTGTATAACGAGTTTTCTGCAACATAAATGATAATAATTCTAGAAATATGCCCAAGGCAAATGACGCAGCGATAGTCTGAAAATTAAGACAGACATCCCTGACACAGACTATTCTGATTCCTAGAGTTCTTTGAATGTTTCTTGCTATCTTTGATGATTCGACAAGTTGTCAAAGTGCAACTCTTTGGTCATGAAAAAATTGCAATATCAATAGCCAACCCTGTTAGACTTTTTAAGATCAATAAACCATTCCATATACCTTTTCGACTGATAAACCTTGAAAGATTATCCAAATGTGCGTATTTAATGGGTACAAGATTTTACTATTCTACTCTTATTGCCCAGGATGATTTTATCCGTCTCCTAGATTTAGTTACTAGAAGTTTCTTTGTATGAATTTAAAATTTGGCATCTCTTTTTTGTTATATATATCGAGTCTAGCGTATCAAATCTAAACGTATAAAAATCAACCCGGTATGACGTTTCTGAGATTTAGACAGTTTTCCTTTCGATTTCAATTCATTTTTAATTCAAGATATCCTTTGAAAAATCGAAATACACTCAATGACATGTAAGCCGACCAACCGTGACCCATAAAATTGCAAGCAAAATCATGCTACTGAGATTTTGTTTTACGGACATCATACAACGCATACATGATTTTAATGACGCCAGTCAGCACTTTTTGAAGCCTGTGCTCTGCAATTATGAGCGATTCATTCTTTTTCGTTTTGAGCACTCATACCAACAGCTTTCTGATCAACTGTGTATAGATTGAAAAATAAAACTATTTTCCACTAAAATTTACCAGCGGGCGTTCAAAAGTTTTCATTTTCTTATTACATTTATGTGTGCAGTGATCCTTAACAAAAGAACTTGTATTTCTTGATTTTAGTGAACTAAAGCATTAATCAAATGTCGACAGAAGCTCGAAGTGAAACTGATCAGTACATGAACAACTTGCCAAGAGAATCTAAAGGTGAAATTCGCCATCATCTGCATGGGCATGAAAGCATCAGTTATGGAAGGCCTTATTTTGCCATATTATTGGCTGCCTTCTCCTCGTTGGGTGGATACTTTTTTGGCTATGATCAAGGTGTAACGGGTGGTGTTGTTGTCATGAGTTCATTTAAGAACGACTTTTGTGTTGGTGTGTATGGTGATGAACGCACCTGTGATCTACCAGTCGCAGGTTTGCCTGCAGGTTATCGACGATTTTTAGTACTCTTCACTTTACTATATAATGTCGGGTGTTTTCTCGGTTCTGTGTTCATTTGTTCATTTGTGGCGGAAAAATTTGGACGTCGATCCATTATTTTCACATCAGCAGTTCTATTTTTAACTGGTACGTCGATGGTGATCTTTCCTCCGGGTGGTTCTAAAAACATAATGATTCTGATACTTATTGGAAGAGTTGTCGAAGGAGCAGGGGTTGGTTGTTCTTCATTTTCCTGTCCATTATATGCTTCGGAAATAGCTCCAACAAATCTACGTGGAATGCTTTCTGGATTCATGCAGATGACAGTGGTAATCGGATTATTTGGTGCCAATGTAGTCAATTTATTATTACAAAGTCATAAATGGGGCTGGCGATTGTCAAATGGAATTATTTTGATTGCTCCAATTACAATTATAGTTGGCATATTTTTCTGTCCTGAAACTCCTCGATGGTTGTTCCAAAACAAGGGCCGAAAGGCAGCAGAAGAAAGTCTAAAGCGTATTCGTAAAACAGACAATGTAACTGCTGAATTGGACGCTATAGCTGATACTGTTAAAGAAATGGGAAATGAAATGCCAATCAAAGAATTTTTCACAACAAAGAAAGTACTTGCAAGACTTGGCATTGGTATCGGTGTCCATGTTTTATCACAAACAACGGGTATCAATCCTATATTTGTATATGGTGGTATTATTTATCAAAGTGTGCTCGGTAATGGGATACTATCATTATTGATCTTATCTGGCACAGTTCTTCTGTGCACTATTCCGGCCTTGTTCTTATTTGATAGATTAGGACGTCGAAACCTGCTCATGTTTGGAGGCATAGCTATGGTAGGAGGCCACTTTGTATCGGCAACAATATTTGTCTCAAATTGTCAAATTAAACGAAAACTCACCAATGACAGTGCAATAATTCAAGAAATTGTAGATTGTAGTGGTAGCTCTGGCACACTAATGCTTGTCTTTACTGCAATTTTTGTAGCCTCTTTTGCGATATCTTGGGGACCCATCTCCTGGATCTATGCAGCCGAAATTTTTCCTCTTAATGTGAGATCTAGAGCTGTTTCAATAACAACAGGTAGTAACTGGTTGACAGGTATAATTTTGTCTTACATATTGGAATTGATAGCTCCATTAGGCATACATGGAATATTTTATTTGTTCGGTAGTCTGACTGTATTAGCTGTTATATTTGTGTATCTTTTCTGTCCAGAAACGAAAGGTATTTTGTTAGAAGATATTGAAGAAACATTTGATAATTTCCAGCTGCAGAACAGAACAATAATACGAATAGTACGTCAATCATTTCAGCGGAGCAAAAAAACGAATACGAAAGTGAATGCAATAGAAATGGAATGATGATTCCTTAGCTTTAGTAACCTTATATCTTATTGTAATTCTTGAAGGTAGATTCATAGTACGTTCTTATTCTTGTAATATGTGTGCATTTCTACAACATTGAATAAACAATCTATCAAATTGTTAACTGATCTAGTTGATATGACTAATAACCGAACGGGTAGAGCTCGGGGCGCTGATTACATTGATGTAAAGCGTTTTATTTTGTTTTCATTTGATGTAGAATTTAGATCCATATTAATGCTTCAAAAATGAAAGTGATATGTGAAATAGAAGTGATAAATCATGATATAGAGGCAAATTGCAAACGTATCGTCTGCACCATTGGACAGGTGCTAGTGTAGTAAACGTAAGTATATGTCACACGCATATGCCACACTCAACATTGCAACTGTAGAAAACTACCGAAAGTGTGCGTGCGAGTGTGAGTGCGTGTGGGTGACGAGACAAACCAGTGCGAAACACCCCACACCCTATGTTCATTTATTTGGAAGAATTCTTTGAGAAAGCGATCTAGAAATTGCAAAGTAACTGACTTAGTGCTTCTCTTTCTTTTGGTGTTGTTTTCTTTTTGAATGTTTAGCAAGAATGAGTTATATATAGTTTGAAAGAATGAAAACTTTTCTATCAACGAAGAAAAAAGGATGACCATTCAGACACTAGTTCATAACTGATATATGTTGTAGTCAACAAATTCTATAATTATTCCAAAAAACATGTAAAATGTGTAACTATCTTAGAGAGATCCTTCTATCTTTCCGCTGTCGTTTGGTTTATACATGTCTTATATAAAGCTTCTAACATACATGTTGAATGGGGAAAATAATTCTTTTTAGAACTATGCCTATACGAAAATTTAAGAGACGATGCTTTGCATCAGTACGTTTGCATCGAATGTTATTGTTGAAACCTTGTGTTGCAGAAATACTTCGAGATTATTTTATTTAAATAAGGTATTTTTTAAATTAGACTTCAAAAATCAGGGCATAGTGAACCTAGTATAATCTTAATGGCATCTACATTTTAACCGTAAGAATCCTCTACAATGTCCACCTGACCATCCTTGTCGACAGCACTTTCTAGCACATGCACTGTTGTCAGGACATCGAATTCCCATAAACGAACCGTCAATACCACATCTAATGTCAGTCAAATCATTAGTACATTGACAATGGGGAAAAACCACTAATTGCTGGTTTATATGTCATCGCACCTTGTGGTGAACCATAGTTAGTTCCACTAACGCCAACTGTGACACCACCGTGACAAAAACCAGTTATACGACCCATTTGACAACAATATCTATCACAACTTTCGCTTTCTGCATCTGTTGGTCTTCCAACTGGTTTCCAGCATTTTGGTTCATCCAATCTACCACAAACTCCTTCAACTGTAGCTTAAGTTTTCTCTGGAAGAGCTTAATAACGATTCCATCGTTCTTGAAGTCTTACTGCACGCTAAAATACGCATAAACATGATTGATCATGCCAAGTTTTCCAATTGTTTCTGATTTTATGTGAGACTCTAATATAGGTGATTTCAAACACTTCAAGAATGTTTTTTTTATTCAAATCAAGGTCATTCTAAAGATTTGGTGTAAAATTTGTCACGTTTACAGGAAAAATGAAAGTTTAAAGAAATAAAACTAAAGAATGTTTTTAAAAAACTCAAAATCTCAAAATCTTGATGCGCAGCATATTTTCGACAATAGTACTAAGATTTCCACGAATCAATATAAAACTACATTCTTCAGGATCTGGATACCAAGTGAAGGCCGTAACTGTGATTCCTGGTGCTAAAAAATCAACAAATATTAATTATTAAAAACATAATTTCATCAACTTTATAAACAACAATAATTACTTACTAATGATTATCATCAAAAAGAATATTGAAAAGTCAACCATATTGAGATGTTTTGGAAGCTTTTAATATAAGTGTAAGAAACAGGAACAAATAGTCTATTTCATTTGACTAACACCGAAACAAATAGTGTGAATGAAAAGCACAGATAACATTCGATTTATATATAGATATAGATATAGATATAGATACTTCCTTTTTCTTATCTACCAGCAATATTAGGCTGATCATCAACACAATTTTCATGACTCGATGACAGATTTCATACTTGATATATGAAGCAAAACTAATTAATGAAAATCAATACCTTGATCTTCAATTCACCTTTTCCACTTTCTTATCGTGATGCTATTCAGAAAAATAAGATAAAACGACACTCAAATTGAAAAAAGAGGCCAAATCGTGTTAGCAATCTTAATTGTGGATATTTTGATCTTTTTCTTTGAAGAATCATCTTAAGATATGCTTAACAGTAGAGTATGCTATGGCCTATCTATTCCGAAGTTTTTGATAAAAATTCAAAATAAGATGAATATTTGTATAACGAAATAGACTATTAATAGAAGATTCCACAGAAAAATATAATAACTTTTTGCTGCTTTCTGATAGAAAATGGATGTTTGGTTTTAGGCGACTGTCTGATGTTCTTGCTACTCTTTCAGTTATTATCTTCAGGATATGATTGAATATGTTATGTTTACCTTATTGGCAACAACGAGGCCCTATACATTTTTGGGATGATATTAATTGTATTTTATGTAGTTTCATTTAGCATAAGTTCTGTGAAATGAACATCATTTGAGAGCTTTTTTATGTCTTTCCAAGTTTCGTATATTTTACACGACAATACGAAATGATTCACAGTGTAGGTGAAGATGCAGTATTTCAAGACATTCGTACTCTCACATCTATCCATACCTCATCGGTATCGCCATAGACATCTTCGATCCTGCTAAATTCCCAGAAGATATTACAATTAATGTAATCTTGGCACAATTAAAAAATTTCAGAAAGACTTGTCGTCTAATATTTAAATACGCGGTTGATTGTATAAAAGGGTGTGGGTATGTGAAGTGTATGTGTGGCGTCTTGTTCCATATCCATACCCACACCCACACCCTCAAAAATCATTTAGATTTAATTTTTTTAAATTTAAATTTAAAATTTAATAAACTGTTTCGATGGATACACATCATTGCTATGAGAAAACTACGCGACTTTAACAGTAGTAAATACTAAATGAGGGGAGAACTCAGTATTTTAGGTTAATATTTTGTTCATAATTAGGGGTGTCAATTTACATTTTATTTAATTTAAATTTAACTTCGTGAAAAGTTAATTTAATTTTAAATAAAATTCTATCAAGTTAAATTTAAAATAAATTTAAATTCTTCTGATGCAAAAA